CCGTTGCTGAGGGCTGAGTTCTGTTCATCTTTGTTTCCCCGCAGCCCTGGGCTCCCGGGGGACGCGCCGGGCAGTTAGCGTGTGCCAAGGAGACGCGGCACGGTGGCAGCTGCCACCCCAGTGCGGCCCGGAGGGAGTCAGGGCCACCGTGGCCAACCCCGGCCCCGTCCACGGTTCAGCTGCCACCCAAGTACTGGGCGCCTCTAATTTGTCCTCCTGCCTTAGCCCCTCTCCCAGTGGTTGCTGCCTGTGTCCGTGTCTGTGTCCGTGTCTGTGTCCATGCCCGTGTCCATGTCCATGTCCGTGCCCGTGTCCGTGTCCGTGTCCATGCCCGTGTCCGTGTCTGTGTCCGTGTCCATGCCCGTGTCCGTGTCTGTGTCCATGCCCGTGTCCATGCCCGTGTCCGTGTCCGCGCCCTTCGCCATCTGGCGTCCTCAGTCACAGCAGGTGCGTTGCGCTGAAGGTCCTGTGCCCCCTCCTGTAGTGGCTCTGTCCCGGTGGCGCCGGGCGGCCGGAGTGAGGCTGACGCAGCTGCTCCCTGCCCCCGGGACTGTGTCACTGTTCCCTCACCCAAAGCTCGCTCTTCAGCCCGCGCCAGCGGCCCCAGCGCAGCCCCCCCTCTGCCTGTGGGGAAGGAGGGCAGCGAGCACCCTCTGCAGCCCCGCGGGGTGCTGATGGGCCCCCCTCCCCGCGCCCACAGCCTGGAGCGGGCCTGCAGGGCCGCCGAGCGTCCCGCCTCCTTTGTAAGTCACACTCGCTCCCGTGCTCGTGTGTCACAGTTGCTTTCATGCTACACGGCAGAGTGGAGCGGCTGTGACAGGTCGGTTGGTCTGCAAAACTGGAAATGTATGCCATGTGGTTCTTTTTAATTTTTATTTATTTATATTTATTTAATTGATTTTTTTAGAGAGGGAGGATGGGGGAGAGGGAGAGACAGAAACATGGACGTGAGAGAGACACATCAATCAGCTGCCTCCCGGGTGCACCCGGCCAGGAATCGAACCGCGATGGGACTGCCCTCCAACCAGCCGCGCCGCGCCCGCGGGGCTGCACTGTAGCTCTTCACAGAAAGCCTGCTCATCCCTGCCTCAGAGGGTACAGTTCAGACTTGAGTGGGCTGAAGACTCTTATGATCTTGTCCCAAACAGGTTCATCACCATCTGTCGTTCAAATACCTTAAACCCTGTCCTATTCTTCGGAGCCCACATAATTTTGCATATTTTATTCCTTCTTTTTCATCTGTCAAACTCCTCTTTATGCTTCAAAACCCAGCAAAGTTTGTTCTTCCTAAACTCCTCCCAGCACGTAGTGTCCTATAACGGTTTCTTCATATTTTTATTATAGCATTTTTGTTTTATAGCCCACAGTATATGCCATTGATTTTTAACCTTTTTTGTCTCATGGCACACATAAACTAATTACTAAAATTCTGTGGCAAACCAGAAGATATATTTTTTGTTGACCAGACAGAAAAAAATGAGGTATAACTTTGACTTATTACACTGGACGGCTCTTGTTGTGCTGGCTGTTATTTTTTAACTTGACAGTCTCAGGGAAAAGAGGTCATTGCCCCTGACTGAAGAGTCAGGTGTTGCATGTTTTAAAAATTCTTGCTGCCATTGGCTGAAAAATTGCTGGTATATATGTATATAGCACGTGTCATAATGCAGTTATTTGTTCTTCGGACAATGTCTATAACTAGACTATTCTCTACATTGATTGTCTTAATCATTTTTATATACTCAGTGTCCAACACTAGTAACATTTAACACCCAGCAAAGAGATGGGCGAACAAACAGATGGTAGCACAGAAGTTTGGCTAAAGGAAAGATTTCTGAATTGGACGTGCTTGGGACTTGGGTGCAGGTGGGGTTGCTCCGACCACGCGTGTATGTTCAAGCGTCTGGTGGTTTCTCCTTTGCTTCTGAAAGTGTCCTTTGGTTCCCTATATAAGCTGAGTTTTGGGAAATGAAAGTTTGACATTTGAATCACTTAAAATGTCCTCTAAAAAGGACATTTCAGATTTTCTTTCATGAGGAGTTACCTCTATCAGGGATGATAGCTGCCGAATGAGAAGGTCTGTGGGCCAGACCAGTAATCCTTAATTCAGTTCAGTAATCTTGGCTTTTTAAAAAATCGGTCCCAGGGTCCGTTTTGTGGGAGAACATACCAATAATTTCCTTGACCTAAAAAAGTCTTCGTAAATTTATTAAAAGCAGTCACATAGCACATTATCCAAGAGGTTTCTCAACGGGTAAGAAGCATCACAGCTCATTGCGCTAATTACAGTCACTTTTTAAAACGTCATATTTAAGAAGCTGTAGTTCATGCTCCGTGCAGCGGACTGTGAGGATCGGTAAGGAAAAGCGAGACAAGCCCGAGGCCCTCGCCGTGTGTATGATTATCAGTGAGGGCACCGGTATTGGTCCTGCAGCATTCTTACATATGTCTCTGCTTAGATACGTAGAGTAATTCTTTTTTAAAAAGGAAATAATGCTTTGGTACAGTTTTAACAGCCTGCTTTTTTTCACTTAGTCATTGCCATTTCTTCATGCCATTAAATGTTTTTCCAACGCAGATTTTTTTTTTGGTCTGCATTAAGTAAGCTATTTTACTTTAACATTGAGTCTATGAGTGAACGTTCAGATTTTCTCCGACTGGTTGCAGCCTTCAGTGAGCCTCCAGAGGCCCGTTGTCTTGGATTAAAGGTTGTGTGTGTGTTTCCACTTTCAGCCGGGGAGCCAGGGTTTGTATCTGCTGTCAGTTTCCATTCGGTGAGGACCGCGCCGTGATAAAACACGCTCATCTCTCGGCAAACGCCAACCACGAAACCCGCAGGCAAGTCGGCCTCCGCTCTCCCTCGCCTCCTGCCTAAGCGCCGCCGCAGGGACTGGGCTGGGGCCTCAGCCCCTTTCTCCTTCAGGTCCCTCCACCGATTCGCATCACAAACCACAGCGGAGCCCCAAGGCCCCCCGGCCTGTGTCAGTCTGCAGTGTGATCTGCCCTTACCTGTCTCCAGACCCATTCCGAACCCCGCTGCACCCTGGTTCTCTGGGGCCAGCGAATTCTTCCTTGTGGGAGCCTGAGGGGCCTCAGGGCGTGTAGATAATGCACTTCCCCTGCTCTGCCCCTTTCGCTTCCTCTTAATCTAATTAACTTTGCTCAGCTTTTAAATTTCAGTATGTTTTAAAATGTTAGCATTTCCTTCATAGTAATTATTTGTATTACTTTGATGTTTCTTTGACCCTCCAACTTGAGCCCAGCAGGGATCAGTGTGTGGAAATAGCTATGTATGTTTATTATAAATAGCTGTAGAACTACTTAATAGGTTAGTATAGGGGAAGTTCATTTTATAAGAGGAAATAAGACTTGTTTTAAACTTCAGATGTTGTCTTAAGTTCACGGTGACCTTCCTTATACTTACTTTTAGCCAGTTAATATTTAATCTTTGAAAACTGTTCATTTCCATGTCTGCAGAATGTCCTGATAAAATGTGCCCGTAATGCATGCAGGCCAAGACTTCAATGTGGGTAAACTTTTACATGCTATAAAATACACAGATCTTACGTGTACACTTAACTTTTGACAAGTGTGCATCTGCATAACCCCTCTCCTGGCCAAGGTGTAGAACATTTCCTTCATCCCACAAGCTCCCATACGCAGCCCTGGGCCCTGTGGGGGACCCTGGTTAGCTCGCTCTCCTCAGGCTCATTTCCATGGAATCGGACAGTGTACGCGCTTTGTGTCTGCCTCCTTTCACTTAAATTATGTTTTTGAGATTTTTTTCCGTGTGGCTCTGTGTGTCAGTTCATTCTCTCTTGTTGAATAGAATTCTGTTCTCTGCTGCTGCCTTAAGGTAGCTCCGGAACAGCCTTTTATTCTGCTCTGGTGTCCGCGGGTCAGGGTTTGTAAGGGCACAGCCAGGAGGATGTGTCTCGACTCCACACACCTGGGGCCTCGGGGACGGCTTGGAGTCCGGGCCGATGCTGGGCCGGAGTGGCCTCCGCTAGCAGGGTCTGCTCACGTCTGCCGGTGATCCTGGCCGTTGGCCGGGACCGTACCTGGAGCTGGGGCCGGAGGCCTGCACGCGGTCTCCTCGCAGCACTGTGGCCTTGGATGTTTTACGTCACTCGGAGGACCAGCTGCAAACAGCGTCGCCTTTTGTGATGCGTCTGGGGTTGCAGGGCGGGGGTTCTATAGCTTCACTTCTCTGCAGCTCAGCCCCAGGCCCTTGTTACTGGGCGCAGGCAGGGAGAGGGGCGTCAGTGCACCTCTCAGTGGGAGAAGCGCCATGGAATTTGCAGACGTGTGAAACTGTCATGCTCCCTTATAGCAAGTAGTGAGTCCCCTCGTGTCCCGGCACAGCCCTGCCCTGGTGTCCCAACACAGCCCTGCCCTGGTGTCCCAACACAGCCCTGCCCCGGTGTCCCAACACAGTCCTGCCCCCGTGTCCCGGCACAGCCCTGCCCCCGTGTCCCGGAACAGTCCTGCCCCCGTGTCCCGGCACAGCCCTGCCCCGGTGTCCCGGCACAGCCCTGCCCCCGTGTCCCGGCACAGCCCTGCCCTCGTGTCCCGGCACAGTCCTGCCCCCGTGTCCCGGCACAGTCCTGCCCCCGTGTTCCGACACAGTCCTGCCCCCGTGTCCCGGCACAGTCCTGCCCGCATGTCCCGGCACAGTCCTGCCCGCATGTCCCGGCAGAGCCCTGCCCCTTGTGTCCCGGCACAGTCCTGCCCGCATGTCCCGGCACAGTCCTGCCTGCATGTCCTGGCACAGTCCTGCCCCCGTGTCCTGGCACAGTCCTGCCCGCGTGTCCCTGCACAGTCCTGCCCGCGTGTCCTGGCACAGCCCTGCCCCTTGTGTCCCGGCACAGTCCTGCGTACATCTCAGTGGAGATTCGTTTAATTTTTCTTCTTAACTGTAGTAGTTTTGGACCTAAAGTAAATTTGTGTTAAAGCCTTAAGAGAGGAATGAGACATTTCATTTCTTAAAAATATTTCCCTTCTTGTCTTTGCAGTTGTGGAGCACAGTGTTGAATGAGAAGCCCGTGCGCGCGGGGTGGCGATGGCCGGCTTCCTGGATAACGTCCGCTGGCCGGAGTGCGAGTGCGTCGACTGGGGCGAGAGGAGGAACACGGTGGCTTCCGTGGTAGCAGGCGTGCTGGTGAGTGGGGGCCCCGGGCACTCTTAGGCGTCACCTCTCACCCCAAAAGTTAACGCGGTTTCTTTGAGCTGTGACTGCCCATTCAGAGCTGTTTATTTTGCTGTTTGTATAAATAATGACCACAGCTCTAGATGCTGTTACAGAACAGAATGGGGTAGGTAGGTCCTGGGTTCATCTGACTTTGTAAAACCTTTTCTTAAAAAATATATGTTTTTATTGATTTGAGAGAGAGGAAGGGAGAGAGAGAGAGAGAGAAACATCGGTGATGAGAGTCACTGACCGGCTGCCTCCCGCAGGCCCCCGACTGGCTGGAGCCGGCAACCCCGGGCCTGTGCCCTGACCGGGGATCGACGCTGAGCCGCACTAGCTGGGCCCAACTGCATTTTTTGAAGCATATTTCAGTTTTTATTACATTTAAAAAATTCATCTCTTTCAGTATATAGTTCTATACCTAAAGTCCAGTAGAAAAAAATAAATTAAGCACAGCAGGACCTAAAAGTAACAGTGAAGCATCCTGCACACAGAATTCTTTCAGGTGTTTCTAAGTTTTTCTCGCTCTTTATGGTCGTCTCATCTGCACTTAATTTGTTTATGAAATTCATTAGCAACTTGTCTAATTTAAGTGCATTCAGCTTAGTTCACATAAAAGCATTACAGTTTGCAAACTTACGTTCAATCAGGTTACACAGTGAATCCCGTAGTGGGTTAAATAGCTTTGGAGACGTGGGCGCGGACAGCTCACTCGTGGAAGCAGAAGCAGGGGGCATATCAAACAAGGGAGGATCTTCAGAGAGGGTGAAACACCCCGGGGTGGGGAAGCAGGGTGTGGGAAGTCGGCTGAGAGTCGGGCTTTGGGTGGCAGAGCAGACGGCCCGTCCCCGGCCACCCCGTTTTCGTCTCGCGCTGAGAGCGGAGCTTCGGGATCTTGCACAGATCTCACGGGTTAGGCCCGTGCCCCGTGCTACGAGGGCTACGTAAACAAGCGTTCTTATTTTTTATTTTCCAACATCCAAAACTCGACGTAGAAATACCTTCCCTTCCACGCATGTGGCCTGTAGAGAAAGAGGGACGTCACAGAGCAGCTGTGAGCCGGGCCGGGCCTGCGCTGCTTTGCTGACCCCGGCGCTCTCCAGTTTTTCACAGGCTGGTGGGTCATGATCGACGCGGCCGTGGTGTACCCCGCGCCGGGGCAGCTGAACCACGCCTTCCACACCTGCGGGGTGTTCTCCACGCTGGCCTTCTTCATGTGAGTACCGGGAAGTCCTAAAAACGGACTTTTCCTGAAGGGTTCATGCTGTCTGCTACCTGGAATAACTTTTTAAGTTAATTGATGGGTTCCTCTTTAACTGCTAAATAAGTAAATAAATAAATACATCCCCATTTTGTTGAGTCTGTGAAAACGAGGACTGGCTGCTGAGTTCAGTCAGGGAGCGTCGCAGCGCCTGGGAAGGTCGGCCTGTGATTTTCCTCCTCAGATTTGGTTAAACAGGTTATTTACCGTATTTTATTAGTCCCAAGGTTATTTTTTATATTTTAATATCTCCGAATATCAGGGTGCTTTTTATAGTCCATGGTATCTTATAATTACAGTTGATAACATTTTTTCTTTCTTGACAGTTTAAAAAGTAATGGTGAATTTTAAAAATCAGTGCATCTCAGAGTTAATGAGATATGTTACATTTCCAGGTTTTTAGTAGTGAGCATTGTCTTACCGTCTACTTTCACCATGGAGGGTTGTTTTTAAAAATGGGTTCCTTCACTGTGTTTGCCAGTATTACTTTTTAAACT